CTAATAACCTAAGTGCCTACCTAAAGCTTGCTCAAATTTAACTTAAATACTACTGAGCCAAAATCCACAGCAGGGTTAGGGTAGAATTGTCCGGATCGCTAAACTTTTTTTTTTGTTAAACTCTCCCCACCACCATAAAGGAGCTAGGTTTGAGAATTTATTAATGAAGTGAATTTGAACCATCTAGTTCCTCAGACATTTATCTACTATCTACTGCCAAGCTGCTGGTTAAATGCTGAGGCTAAAACACTGGCTGCTGGCTGACTGTTGGTGCCAGATAGAGGGAAAATATTTATGTTACTCAAGGGTTTGGATCAAACCCTTTTTGGTACAAAAAGCCCTGTTAATGTTATCTGATGATACACTTAGCTAGGGAAGCTAATTTACCCAGGCCTGGAAGCTCTGACCACCTCATTTGTTTTAGAATCTGAATATGCAAGAATCCTTTGGGGCAAACCCTCTCCTGCAGGGAGGGTCTCTAACTTGAACCTCTTCAGCCAAAGGCAGTGTGGTTTGTATACCTTCCAGAAAGTTCTATGAACCAAAACAGACCCCAAGGCAAAGAGGTTGAGAAGCTCTAGTCAAGAACAAGAGCTTTAACTCACTCTATGGTATCCGTATTTTTAGAATAAGAAAATTAATCAGACTGCCCAATCTATAATCCAGGAAGGCTGGGAAGAATGGGTAATAAAAGTTGAGGCATTTGGGGTTTTACAAAGTACTGTGTCATTGGTCAACAAAATTCCAGACACTCATTGCCTAAGAGGCTGGAGGCAGTAGCCTTCGTACCTTCTCATTCCCACTCTCCTAGGTCTCTGCGTCACCACAAAGAAAATTCCACAGCTAGCAAATACGGAGGAGTGAAAGGCACAGTACACACAAATGACACCTAGTCTTTGCTGGCTGTTTTTTTTCTCCTATTAATATTGTTTGTTGTCCTGTTCAGAGTAAAGGGCAATGGGACCTGAACCCATTTATTATGTGGATGATATCAAGGACACAATCTTCTTGGTATAAAAGAATTATGGGTCTTTGAAGGCGAACAATTTACTCCCGACATCCTAGAAGACTGGACCCTCTTGGACCAAAAATAAACATTCGGACTAATTCCTGTCCACATGACCTTTAATGATTTTTAGCTACTTTCAAAACATCATTAAAAAAAAAATCAATAAACAATCATGCTAAGTTAAACATTAAGAGGCAAAAAATGGTCAAGCAGTAGGGAAATAGTCTGATGATAAAAATTATATTAAAAGCTGCATATCATAATAATTCTAGCATAGGCTTTCAAACAAGACTCAATTAAAAAAAAATGAATCAAAATGCAATAAATGGCCCAGTGGCCCTCCCCACGCTACAGACCAACCCCCTCCACGAGACCATCTCGGTTTTGAGCAGGGGCCACCTTTATTTATCTATTTTGGCCCACAAACTCACAAGAAAGGAAGCAACAAGTCCTACATGCTCAGGGAACAAAGAGCATGGACAAAGCTCATGATAGTTAAAACAGCGTTTCACTATCTTTTGGAGATCCCGGTTGTCAAACAGAGGGCAAGGAAGAGAATACTCTTGACTCCATTTTCTCTCAGGCTCAAAGAGGCAGTTCTGTCTGTGGGCAATGTACACCCGAAGCCCCTCGCCTGCTAGTAAGGCAGAGGTGTGGGGCTGGCAAGCTACGAGGCGGAGATCAAGTTAAAAATTAAGGCTTCTGGTGGCCTTGCCAAGCACCAGCATCATATTTTCCTGGTGATGTCAGTGCAGATGTGGGCTCTATCCCTGGGCGGCGGCTGCTGGCTCAGCCCCCACCACCACCTATGGCACTGTATGCATGCTGGGAGAGTACAGCATCCATTCTCAAGCCAAGGCGAGACAAAACCTGCTGGGTCAGTCACGGTGACTGGTTTAAGCTTCTTTGGTTTAAGGTGCATAAACAAAAGTCAGATCAGAGAGGGCCGCTGCAGGTCTGGCAAACTGAATGAGGATAAAATTTTTGCTGCAGGCTGACAACTTCCCTGCCCAAAAAGTCAGAGTGAATTCATCAGAAGCTTCGTTCCTAAGGAGACGACAAAACACCAGCCTCTCTCTCCACCCCCAAAATAAAAAGCATGCAGGAAATGTCAGAGACTACTGAGTTCAATTCTTGCCATCTTAAGATGACAATTCAAATTTTCCAGAGAATCAAGACAAATTTAGAAAATATTCCATTATCTTGTGTGGGATACAGGTTCATCTTGGAGCCGGAGTCCAACTCTTGCCCTTTAAATTCCAGCACCATGCCCTGTTTAACAGGGACAGTAGCCAAGAACTTTGTGACCAGAGGCAGCAACCTCAGAAATTACCAGAATGAGGTTGCTTTATTACAGGTCAAGAACATCACCTAGACTCAGAACGTAACACCGGGGCTTTCACGAAAGCATTCCATTATCAAGAGTCTCCTCAAAAATTCCAATCATTAATTGGATTTCAACAGGAGACAAGCCTGATGCAAGGCACTCCACGACACCCCCCCCCCACCTTACCAGTCTCTCTCCCGAGAGGACCTCCAGCAGCTTGATGAGCATCCGTCCATCTCGAAGGTCAGTGTACAGGTCAGTGATGCGGCAGGACACTCGGGCAAGGTGGGAATTGACCCACTTAGTGAAGGTCTTCTTCTGCACGGCTTCGCGTTCATCTGCAAGCAGAGTAGAGCTCACTTTACCACCAACCACAGCAGCGGCAGTACCAGGTACTTGCCAGCAGGATCTGAGACTCCAGCCACAGGAAGGTCAGCAAAACTAAACTCTTATGAAACTGTTATGCTAGCTGCTCTTATCTGTGGTCATGTCTGAGAGTATGAGATGGTCACAGACTGAAGATGTTCAATCTAACATTTTTTTACTTTTTGATGGGTTTATTGGGACATAGGTTAAGGAACACATGTACAGAGACTTGTCCTAAAACACGTGAGCTTCTATGCATACTGCTAATAGAATAACCTTTGCTCTCTTTCATTTCCTGATGAAAAGGCAGCAGAAGCAGACTGGACTGCAAGAGGGTCCTTTGCAGTCCTGTCCAATACTATTTGGTAAAGCTTCTAACATACATGTTACAGCTATTACTTCTACAAAAGGTGAGTATGGGGAAGCCAAGAGCCTATGAAAGGATGTGGGGTAGAAAATCTTGGGCAACAGCAGAAAACTTATTTCCCTCATCTAACAAAGGACTAGGCAACACCTGACAAGATCAATGTGCTCATGACCTTGATATGCAATGACCCCTTCACCTGATCAGTCTCACGCACTGTAAATCAGAGATAATGGCAGGCAATATGGAAGAGTGGAAAGGTCCTGGACCAAGGGTTTCAACAAAAATGGGCTTAGATGCTGGATTCAGTCTCCTCTCCTATACAACAGGAGGACAACTATCATCTCCAAATTTCCACCATTCATTGAAAAGACAACTGCTGACTTAATATTTCAAGTCATCCTTGAAATATTATGAAGTTTTTCAAGGCCCAGTGATGAAGTTCTATCCAACTCAGAGCATAAAAATCTCAATACATCTGGCCAGAATTGGACCCTATCACATCCCATACTAATAGAGCTTCCAAAGTTCTTGCCTCTGCAGAATGTTCTAAATGCAGGCTGCAAAAGACCTACAATAGATAAGACAGAACGTGCCCTAGACCCAATCACTCACACTCCTGACTCTGCCCTCTACAGAGCCACCCTCTGCCAATTACGCACACCATTTCTAGTTCCACTAGCATGAATTTGTACCAAAAGAATTCAAGACCTGCTCCTAATGCAAACCCAAACCCACAAAGATACTTATATGTGAATATAAAGGAGCAGACAGCCCAACGTTTCTTACATATCTTAAAACACTGGCTGACGATTAACAAGCTACCCTTTGCTGATGGGGTATGTGCCCAGTGGCCTTAGGGTACTGGTTTCCTAGTCTGCCCAGAGGGATGACCATCAGCCCAGTATCCTGGAGGCTCTGCTGAGGCTTCCTCAACCCTACCCAGGGAAGGGAGTGAGGCAGACGCTGCACAAGCTTACGGCTGCCAACCTGGCAAGCCAGTCAGTGGGGCACCTGCCAAGAAGCCTGGCCACCTGCTGCAGGCTGCAGCTCCTCTAGGCCCATCCTATCAGGGCAAAAAGAGGGCCCTTCCCCAAGGACAAAGGCCAACCAGAAACAAAGGATCAAAACCAATAGGACTGGGGGAAGGAGAAAAAGCGGTGAGGGGCAGGCTGCAGACTGAAAAAGGAGCTACACCAACAACATCATCATAGGTCCCACAGAAAAGACCACATGCATTATTAATTGCACAATCATTGTGATGGATGGTGACTTTACTATAGTGACTCGGGGCGCTGCAATTTTTAGCTTAAAGTCGGCTGTTTTCAAAGAGTGGGGGTGAGAGCAGAAGACATAAGGCACATTTCACAGATGGCTCCTAGCAATGGGGGGAGTGCGACTCCTGATTCAAGTGTACTTAGGGTTAATAAACTTCTAAAAAAATTATAAAATCCTTTATGTGTTACACTGGAGATGGGAAATGTCTTTAATAAAGCCCTTGAAGGGTATCCCAGGCTGTTAAAAAGGGCTTACGGCTCAAAATTACCTACCACACCCAGCAAGATCAAAATGAAAACATGCTCGGATTAAAGTATAATGTTCCTAAATAAATAAGCACAACATATGCCCCCGAGCCAACGATCACTCCTTGGATAAATTTCTCATTAAAGGACACCCCTATCTTCTTTTAGGTGCTGACCTAACAGGGTCCTTTATGAGGAAACTCTGAGTATTTGCTTCAAATGACGTTAAACACACCCTCTCAGCCCCTTGTCCTACCTAAAGAGTTACAGCCCAGTCCCAACCTCCTCCTCAGAGAGAGGTCAAGGGCAAGAGCAGAGAGAACTGAGCTGAAACAAAACAGATCGGTACAAGGAGAGTTCCTGGGGGCTCCCCAAGTCCTCAGAAACTCAAGAGAGGAGAAAAAAGGAGGAAATGTCTCCTGCTCCCCCCACCCCCCACAGCTTCAGAAGCGGGCCCCAGGTGGAGCAAGCTGCTGGAAAAGCTGAGTAGGGTCTAACTTCCTCGGGCTCCACCACCCTGGAAAAGGCACGGAAGGTTCTGTCCTGGGACTGGACCAGAAACAACACCCTTCTAACATACGAGGGGCAGGAAATGGACTCCAGCGAGAGACACAAAGCCTGGCCAGCTAGCGTGTCCTCTTACAATGGAGCACCCGGAGAACAACAAACACTTCTGAAGCCGGAAAGAGGCAGAGGGAGGGGGAGATCTACCCAGTGGACACCCGGCCTCATCCTCTACTGCGTGTCCTTGGGGACTCCCGTCCTTTGTTCTACCCTTCCTGGGAAGGCACCATGACATCAGCCCTGCACTCCCTACCCAACGAGGCCAGGGAAGGTAGCCAGACATCTGAGGAGGAGCAGGAGGCCTTTGGCATGGACAAGGAGAGACAGCCCAGGAGTGTTTCCAAGCTGGAGCTGCTGTCACTGGGCCTGAGCTGCACAAAGAGGTGTGGCAGGAGCAGCTGCAGGAAGCCAGCAGACTTCCAGGCCTGCAATCACTCCTGTGATGTGAAAAGGGGAATTTACCAGCTCCATGCTGGTTTGGTCATTTAGGCTAGAGGTTCTCCAACAGCAGTGACACCAAGGGATGTACGGCAGCATCTACAGACTTGATGGTCATGACCAGGGCAGGGGTGCCGCTAAACATCCTACAGCATACAGGATGGCCCCCACAACAAAGAATGGTCCAGCCCAAATGTCAGCAGTGCCAGGGCTGAGATACCTTGGTTTAAATGTTCTGGGCTTCAACAAAACATGTGTACCCCTCAATATTCTGAGAAAAACAGACGACCATTCTGGGCTTGCATTTGCAGTGTCTCAGATGGCACTCCCCAGAGAGGGCGCCAAGGTCAGGGTGCTATACACACATCATTCTCTTTGTCTTGATCCTGATGGCCTGCGAGTCAGCTGGCTGGCAGCAGACGTGCCCTGCCTCAGGCCCACTCACCCCACAAAGGGCATGCTGCAAGGCAGGGAGCAGGCGCTGCAGCAGGCCAGGGACACCAGGGCCGCCAGTCTGATTTGGTCTGACAGTGGGCACTTCCTATCCCCAGCCATTTCCATTCCCCATTTACCTTTCCTGGGCCTGGTATTACTGTTATCAAGTCAAACCACATCTGCACTTCCTCCCAAAAGAACCTGATGTCGGCCTGGGTATGTTCCCATCCAGCCCTGCCCAATGCTTGGCAGGTGGTACCTCTAAGGCACAGGTACCTTTGCCCACTGCTCCCTGTGCTTATCTTGCAGTTCTGTTTGCCTCCTCCCTGCCATTCATTTTATTAGCATTACGTATAATAGGTACTCATCTGAAGGCTGCCCAGTATTGAATAAGAGGAAGCAAAGTGCACATCAAAGTGCCCAGTTCACTGTAATTGCTCTGAATTAGTTTCATCTCCCTTTCTCCAAAGGGAGCAAAGAAGCAGCCTCATTAATTCAACCCATTTGAGAAATTTACCAGGGAATCATGCAATCTCAGGGATAAGCAAGCTTTCAAAAGGCATCTAGACCAACCTTCTTTCAAAATCTAAAAATCCTTTATTAACATCCTGGGGAGGGGGGAATTACGTGTGTGTTTAATAGTTGCATAGAGAGAAAATGACTTGTTCTTTCTTTTTTATTAAAATAATAGTAGCAGTGACTGAGTACTTGCTACTGTCTCAGGCACCAATCTAAGCACAATCACCCCATGGTATCTGTGACAGATTAGTTCCAGGACCCCTTTGGAAACTAAAATCTGTAGATACTCAAGTCCCTGATACAACACAAATGCTATATAAATAGTTGCTATGCTGCACTTAAAAATTTATAGTATTTCTTATTATATATTTTTTATATTTTTCAAATATTTTCAATCCATAGTTTGTTGACTGTGCAGCTGTGGAGCCCACAGAGGGCCGACTGCACTTTACAATCCTCACAATGCCCCATGCGGTAGGAACTATTTAACTCTCCCAAAAGGCCCGCTCCAGAGCTGGGCATCTCGATCACTACAGTAATGGCTCATGTGCAACGTTATAAAAAGCAGATATCCATTTAGAATCACCTGTTATCTCATAATCCTAACCCATGTTTTGTGAAAGGGTCTGCTCTACCCTGGGTAACTCCACTGGTTGGGATGGTAGTTCCATCAAGACTAGCTCTGTCTCTGTGGCCCACTGAGGCTTGCCCAACCTTCAAACAACCCAGAATAGGTCTCTGCATCCCCTTAGGTAAAGGTCTTCAGGTTCTAAAACTCCTCATTGCCCCCTCTCTGCAGTGACTGCCCCCTGAGGTATGACACATGGGACCCAAGACCATCCCTGAGCAGCCTGGACATCACTCAGCAATGCAGTCAGGACTCGAGGCAGCTGCAGCACTGGCAGTCCAGAGATAGGAAAGGTAGGGACCGAGTGAAGACAGGGCAAAGAGAGCCAGCAGCCCTCTGTGGGAGGAGCTTGATGAGGTGGGCTCTGTGGCAATGCAGGAGGGGCAGTCAGGAAGAAGGACTCCTAACTGCACTCTCACAGTAAGCTTCTCAGGATCACACATTCTACCAAAATGTCCCTGGAGCCCTGGGAACCAGAGCAGCACCAAGTATGAAGACCCA